AGCTCGCGTCGGCGTCCGGCGATGGGACCATCAAGCTCTGGGACGCGCGAAGCCTGGATCACACGGGACAGGCGCAAATGTGCTCTGGCTGCCGTCGGAGTACCGGCCGACGACGTCGGCCCACGAGGGCCACACGGTGACCGTATGGAGCCCCACGGTGGCCCTGGGCTGTGCGTTGGGGCGGGTGCTGCTCTTTCGGTTCTCGGAAAAAGAGTGCCTATTTCCTTAGCGAGGTTGTTAGACTTTCGATCAAGCTTCCTCTATTCCTTTTCATACCTTTGTTCCTTATACGGATCGTAGGGAAGGCGGCAGCTTTATAGTCTTCGACCTTGCTGCGGGTGAATGTTCTGGAAGTGCCGAGGATACTATTTTATACTAGCTGACTTCTCTGATGTAACTACCATTAGTCATGTAATGGGCTGAGGGCCGATCGGTTCGCCTTAGTATTCCTCGGCCCGAGCACATGATCGCTGCCCCGAATTGGGTCGATGACTTTTGGTTAGGCGAGGGGGAGACTTAATGGAATCTTGCAGCCGCTCAAAGCCACGAAGAACCCCGCCCATAAGCTAAGTCTGGCAAGAGAGACATAGCACAGGCATGGGTTGACGCTCGATTGAATTCTAAAACGTTCGGTGGCGACATAGCAAAAGGATAGAGCAACTGCTGCTCCCAGACCCTTCCGGGTTTATCAAGATAGTTATTTGAAATTATAACGTGATCCACAAGCAACCCGGCCACACAAGCAACCCGGCCACTTTTCAAGCACTCGTACGACAATATATAAGATAATTCAACAACAACGCCTTAAATAATTGAAACTATGAGGAATCCTCTTCTTCAGAGGCAGATATAACTTTCTGACACGTACGAGCACTATGGCCGGGCTCGCCGCAGACGCCACATCGTCGCGCGCGCGTTTCTGGCCTCCTCGTACGACCACTATTCTGACTCGTTTCCGCCCTTAACTGCTCCGTCGCGTCGATTTGAGCCTTCAAATCTTTTGCCTGATCAATTGTTAGGGACCCTCCTTTCTGTAGCTGAATCTTTTCGTACGACGACGGCGGCTAAGGCGGTCGTTTGCATCTCGAAGTTCGGCGAGGTCATGGCGCATAAGGGTCTGCTCGTGTACCATCATTGTGATTCCTTTATTAAGCTGCCGTAGGCTCTCAATAATAGACGAAGGAGAGCTATTCTGGTGTCGTACGATGCGATTTTTGATATACTCCGTCTGCGATTCGGCCTCAATTGGGTTATTCGGCGTCTTCGAAACCCAAGGGGTGGCAGTCCAGCAGAGGAACCTGGCGGTGTCGGCGTGTGAAACTTCACATCCAGCTGCGAAATCACATAATTCGGGTCGTACGGCACTAGGCCAGTTGCTCTAAAGCCTGCCTGGATGTTTGACTTTGTCATCGCAGTGTCGTACGCCTTATAAAAGGCTGGGAGGAAGTCCTCCTTTGAGATGTGGGTAGTATGCGCCCGCATAAGACCCTCGATTTCTTTACCGTACGCCCGTTTAAGAGGGCTAAAGCACCCAACATCAAGAGGCTGGAGCTTATGTGATGAATGGGCAGGCATACATAGCGTTACAATGTTCTGCTCCTTGCAGTAGAGCTCGAAATCGACGGAATGGTGGCTCTCATGGCCGTCGAGGATAAGGAGGCGGTGGGTACCCTTCGTACGACTCTTCGTATGGAAATTGAAGTGTTTTACCCATTCTAGACCTCTCTCGTTCGTCGTCCAGCCGTTCTCTGAAGCGCGATTACCCAGTTGGGCGGTAGAGGGCTATTCGCGGTCCAGGAGTCGAGGTGGACCTTCCCCGCGAAGATAATATATGGTGGGATCGAATAGCCGTACGACGCGATACCCTGGATTACTGTAACCCATTCCTGATTGCCTTGTTGTACGGCTCTTGGCCTCCCGCGTCGATCGGAGGTCGTAACAACAGTTTCGGCAGAGATCTTACCTATCGCGAAGCCCGTTTCGTCGAAGTTATAGATGTCGTTATCGTGGATCCCGTATTTCGCGATTATGTTTCGTACGAGCTCAAACCACGCGCGATACGCGTCCGGATCCTCGCAGAGGACTCTCTGGTAGTCGATTCTTCGATTAAAACGCGTATGGAGCTCAGGTCGTCGTCGTACGAAGTTTGCAGCCCAGTTCTTTCCAACGAGGAGCGTCTCGCGTTCGCGGAGGAGTCGATCCGCCATTTCTCGAACACCACCAAGTCGCGGTGGAAACGATCGCGAATCAAGGTCGATTATGTATTGTATGATACTGTCCTCTTCGTACGAGGTCAAATTCTAGCAGGGTGGTCGGATATCGCGTTTCGCAGCTTGGCCGTTCCGTCGTCGTGAGAGGGTCGCATGGGATACATTATAGAGTAGTGCAGCCTTTCGTACACTTAATTTTGGGTCAGAATGGAGCGCATTAAGCGCTAGGACTAGGTCGCTTTCATTTGATTGTCGTCCCATTATTGTTGGTGGAGAAAAGGAGGAAAGAAAAGGAGCAATTAACAATGGGCGGAAAGTGTCTCATTCACTTGGGTGTCTCAGTCACTTGTGGATTACGTTATACTTAATCTATTTCAAGTCCAAGGCTACATGATACTGCCTTAAACATACTGCTTCTTTAAAGAACACCCGTCGAAATCGAGTTGCTGATTGAAAGCTGGCAACGATCCTAGCTAGCCCAAAACTATTCGTTGGCTTGGGATCTCAACGTGTATAGCCTGAATACGGCGTCTCTTCACCCATTTATTCCTCTCATGATTATAACTGTAACGCTTGTGGAATAGATCTTGACCCTCGAGTGTCACCGTTATTACCCTCTTAGAGATGTCGAGCTAGCCGGATCGGAAGGCAATAGCTCGATATCTCGGCGTTTGGAATACTGGTATTGAATTATGAATGATTTGCCTTTCGACACGTCTAACCTATGAAACTTTGAAGTCTGGAGAGCGACTCATTGGCAAACTTTTACAGCCCCAGCAGCTGATATAGGCGATTCAGTTAAGCAGCTGTTAGCCGCTCCCTGAAGCAGGGCGCAAACGATCACTAGGAGCGACAAAGCTTTTTTGACTTGATTAAGTAAGTAGTGGTAAGAATCACAGTTTTTCTGTATCCGGTTCTTTCCTGGTTTGCCCTGCGGTCTGTGCCTCCTCCGACTTGAATTGCTTCCACGGATTGAATGTGAGCAGAAAAGATATGTCAGGCTGCTTTTGTTTTCCAGAAACTAATCCAAGAAACCATAATGGAAAAGGTTCCGCGAGGTTATGTCAATGTGATTGTAGCATGCAGCAGCGAAGCTGATGTGAATCTTATTCTATTCAATCTCTCAGTCCAACTCGATTATCAATCGAGTCGAAGAGAGTGCACTAGGGGTTCTTGGCTGTTTATGCTGTGCAACGCGCAACTAGATTAGCTTGTCTAACAGACATTGCAATTTGTTGATCACAATTGCAAATCGTCGATCGTTTGACAACCTTCTTGTCATGGCACTCCGTCCTGCCATACTTGGTACACCCATCAAATTCTCAAGAAGATAAGCTTGACCTTTATGCCGGCAGAAAAGCCCAATAGAACTTCTCCTTTCATTGAAATGTATAAAGTTCCAGTGAAGCCAGCATATAGCCTAACAACCCCGTGGTGGCCTTGAGTGATTTTGGTACTTTCCAAACAATTCTCTGTAAATTCAACGAGAAGAGATCAGATAAGTGGGAAAAGTGAAGACTCAAAAGTCCTCTCTTATTGTTCCCATCATGTGAATTACTACTAAAAACAATGTTTCGGCGGTGAAATCCCTGTTTTTGGTTCACAGAGCAATCAAAACTGCTTCCAGTTCCATGCCTGCGCCACCTCCGTGATCTGGCCGCACCCCTCCACCTCTTCCCACACACCCCACCACTCCAGGAACCTGAATCCCAGAGGTGGTTACTTGGTTCACATATCTATCAATCACCCTCACTCGCCCTCGTTCACCCTCACTCGCCCTCGCTCACTCTTGCTCACCCTCACTTATCCCCCCATTCACCCTCAGTCACTCATGGTCAGGCCTGGAGTCTGTCCTCCTGACATAGTTGTCAAAGCGAGGTTGAAGCTTTGGATGATCTTCTCGAGCTGAGGCACGACCCAGCCAACGAAGTGCTGAAGAAGCCAATACATTCGCGACGGCGAGTGGCAGTCAATCCTCAGCATGCGCAAGGACAGGCAGACGCCATGGACACAACTGTACACCGTGGCTTCAGTCGGGGTTGACGGCAATGACCCTGGCTGCAATGACGATGACAGTCTCGACGAAGAGGAAGTCAACCCTTTGCCCCTTCTGGCTCATGTCTACAACCAACTACCCGCTCCTTCGCGTCGGAAGAAGAGGACAGTGGAGGGATTGTGTCGACAGCGAAAACAATGGTATCGGTCAGTGTGGCATATCCCCAAGCGCAATGTGCTCATCCTAACGTGACCCAGATACTGTCGCTTGATCGAACGCGACCCTAAGGAGACCCTTCTGTCGCTCGACATGAATCGCTACAAAGCATACTTTGAGTGGTTGATCCAACGCGGACGTATAAACGCCATTACAACGCTGCAGACTTATTGGAAACAACTCAGCACGTTATACGCCGAGACAAGCCAGGGCTGGATTGAGATGGGCGTTCTGAACGAGATGAGCAATGTTGGTAGCTTGGCTCTCCTCTTCTTTGTACCGATCACTGACCATACTTCCAGTATCTGCGATTCTTGCAGCAAAAGTACTCGCTGAGGGAGGCTCAAGATGATAAATCGCCACTCTACGTTGACGATCTGGATAATCTTCTCTTCTACCACTGGGTGCACGACACGAGGGCCTTCGTTCACGAGCGGCAACGGGTGATCGTGGCCATGGTCTTCATCATCATTGGTCTCATGGCATCACGGCCAAGTGCTGTCCTTGCCTTGCGGTACGAGGATCTGCATGTTCAGCTCTTTCCTGCAGACGATCCGCAATGTCGGCCAGACATCGTTATGAAGCTCAAGTTGACAGACACCAAGTCGGGGAAACCCATCCATGTAGGATTCCGTGAGGAATTCAACCTGATCCACTGTGTTCAGTCAGGCCTTCTCGCTCTTGCGATTGCGGATCGGGCCTTCGTCGACGACATCACTTGTCTGCAAGACATCTACAAACTTAGAGTTCCCTCAACTATGGATCGGTTGAAGCTCCAGTGGAAAGCAGACTGGTCCAATAAATTCATATTCAGACAAGGTCCTCTTCACAGCGACCATATAACGTACCAGCAGTGCCTTCAGGCAATCCAGGCGCTTGGTCGTGTGTGTGGATACGAAGAAAAGCTGAGGTTCTATCAGATTCGTCGCGGATCGGGCAAGAAGTTAACAGAAGAGCTTACGATGGAAGAGAGGAATCAAATCATGGATCACATTGGAGGTACATCAGCAGTTTACCGCCGGTACTACATGACTGGCTTCATCGACAAGGACATACAGGCCATCACCTTCGCCAGTCCTCCGAGGACAAGGCTCCTGCACAGGACCGGTCGCATTGCCCGAGATACCGAGGCACCTACAACACTCACCACGGAACAATCTCGCACCGTGAATGTCCATCCTGACATTATCGGGTACAAAAAGGCTCGGTCAGAAATCAGAGATCAAATTCAAAAGTCATTTGGGACTGTCGCGGCAGCTAGAAACTCCAATCACGCCGATTGTGTCGCTTTAGTCAAATCATACGACAAACTCAACAGAAAGATCATCAGTCGCAAGAAATGGTTGAGGCAGGATCTGCTTCAAACAGCGATCACCACGTATCACAACACAGCCAGCAGTAGAGCAATCACGGACCAGATGAACGGCAAGCCGTCTGTGGACGAGCTTGTGCAGCCTCGAGCCTGTTTCGAATACACCGCTCGATTACAGATCGCCAGTCTCTTCTCCCATGAGGATGGTACGATCGGATGTCGGAGCCTCGATGAAAAACGCGCTCAGCTAGTCAACGCGATGGCTGAGCTGTGCATGGTTGCGGAATCGCCACCCAAGTACAGAACACATCTGTCAAGGACGTCACCTCAAAGAGATCATGGCCTGCAGGTGGTGCAGGACTTTTCCCATGATGGGAGAATGGTCCTGCGTCCACAGCGGAAGAAGCTGATCTGTCCGTTCTGTCAAGAGGATTCTAGCTGTGCACCTTTGAAAAAAATCAAGGAGTACTCGCGGATTGATACATTTGGGAAGCATGTTTTCTGCCAGCATTTCGACGCCAAGGGACATCGTCGCGGCACTAGAGGAGGGAGTGCTTTTAGGTGTCCCTTCACTCCCTGTACTACTCCTTTGTTTCATGCTCGCGATTTCGCTCATCATGCAGAGGCGGTTCATGAGATGCCTGCTTTCCAAGTGTCCACATTGCCGGGCCAGCCCAATGACTGGCATGGTGTTGTGAGTCATATTGTGTAGTTTATTAAACCGTGCCGTCAGGCTGCTGGACTAAAAATACACGCTGTGTTCGTCGCCTGTTCCTCTCCTACTTCTGCAAGCCTATTATCACCTCATAAGTGCCCTCTTGACTGCAACATTAACGTCGCCGGCGTCGGCGCGCATGCGCTCCTTGATAGCTTCGGCAGCAAGAGCAGCAGTACCTGTTTCGGGCCCGGCGCCGCCCGACACGCCCGTAAGCCGCGACGTCGCTGCTCGTTCTCCTCGTCGAATTGTCGTTAATGTCGTTCTCAGATTAAGAAGGATCGGTGCGGCCCTGCCGGCGACAAGCGCCCTGTGTCCTGCGCCTCCTGCGTGACGCGCACAGCCGGTGCTTTTGAGTACCGCTGTCGCTATGTCCAGGGAGGTCGCGAGCTCCGGTGCCATATTGGCCACTCCCGCGTCGCCGTAAGTCCTCGCTAGCCCGCTCCGAGCGCGAGTCGCTGACGATGCGTGTGTGTCCAGTTGTCTCTCGATCTGGAGACGCGTGCCGCTGCTGCCCACCTTCATAGAGGTAGCCGACCGCGTGGCCTTCCGGGAGGATCCGGTACCTCCCACGCCCGCGCACGCCGCGTCTGCGATGCTGATGTCCTGCGATAGGAGTTCGCCGGCGCCGGGGCCGAGGCTGCGTTGCGTCCGGTCGGTGGTTCCGTACCGAGGGTTGAGTCGGTGGCAGCGGTTCCACCGCTGCGCCTATTCCGGCAACCCGGAGCGCGGGCTTACTTGAGCGTCGGGTAGCAGCTCTCGAGAGCCTAGCTCGTGGTGTTGAAAGTTGGACCTTGCTGCGTGTGCGACTCGAGTGCGCTGCTAACATCTGGTCCAGCTTGAGCGCCGGGTTGCGGAGGAGGAGGGAGGGGAGTAGAGGGGAAGTGCGCTGCGCGGTCGCGCATGGGGCGCTCCGTACGCTAGAAAAGTGTTTCTGTTAGGTCTGCCTGTCGCGCTTCGGGGCAGCAGCACCCCTGTAACATTCCACTGAAGATTGGCGTTTCGTACAGTAAACGAGCCGCTACAGGGCACCCACCCCACTGGGTCATCCACTGGGGCGGCCCCTAGCCACCTGAGCCGCCCACTAGCCAGCACTCCGGCATGCTGGTTTCAAGTCGCGAATGCTTAGAGCAATATGTCCACTACTCCGTTCTGCCCTCAGATGTGTGCTGGCAGGTTACTCAAATCAGCACTCTTCAGCCTCTCCTTGGACACGTACAGTTCACGCGGCAACCAATCCAACACGCGACCAGCAGGTCGTCCCGGTGCGGCAGCGAGTTCTTCCCCTTCACGGCCGCTCATCATAATGCCCAGTGCGACACCAACGAGCCAGCACCACACCATGCCTTCGCCGGCGCAACCCGCCACGATCCACTCCCGACGCGGCATCTGGCCCTGTCCGGGATCCCTGACCCCGCCTGCCGGCGTCCTGCCCGTGACTGCCGTGTCCAGCTTTCCGACCAGTGGCAGCAAGTCTCCCGTGAAGCCCAGGATCCCGGACCACGCCTGCCTGAGCCCGCCGCCAACACCCCAGTTGTAGCGAGGAGTAGATAATATCTCAGGTACAGGAACGGTTGTTTGACCTCAGGCTCAAGAGTTTAAAATTCCGAGAGTAGCGAACTACAAAGCTATATTATGATGTCTGCCTATTGTACTTGAAAGTATTGGGGCTTACCAGCGGCGCCTCACCATATGAAGGCACATGACTTGCTGGGTAGCTTCGGTGGAATTTTGCGCCAATGGGGAGCTGCGCTGGCTACCCCGGTGACGACATTTGCTGCCCCAGGTCCAATTGATCCTCGTCACAAGGGCGGCGGCCCCATGCGAAATATGCAGTTAGAACCGGGGAAGAAGTGCCTGTGCAGTCGTCCTCTTGCGGCATTGCGTGTCCCCATAGTAAAAGAGCCGGGCATCGGGCTATCGGCAGTCCGGCACTTCTTGCATGCTGATTACGCGCCAAGTCAGAACCAGGTCTTGTTCATACCGTCCAAAGTACTAAAATAGTTCTGTAAGCATAAAACCGAAGTTTAGCACCACCAACGTCAAGTGAGTAGCCCGGGAAATAAGACCGCCAGATGGAGCACCAAGCAAGTTTCTTCATTATTGGATGATACGGATTTATTTATTTTCTTTTTCATGACTTGGGGACCGGCCAACGTATCTCAGCTTAGGGGGACGAGTACTTGTAGCCGTACTGCTTCTTGGCATCGTCCAAGAACTTCTGGTTCTCATCGGCCTTCTTCTTCGCCTCGGGGTCCTCGGCGCGAGTCTTGGCCAGCGTCTCGTTTCTAAAGCTCGACGCGGAGGGGATGGCGAAGCCCCTTGCTGTAGCAGGACGGGCGACGATCCGCTCGTACCAGGCCTGGACATTGGGGAACTGCTTCAGGTCGATGCCAGACAACGTTGCGATGCTAACCCAGCCAATCATCGACATGTCGGCAATGCTGTACTTGCCCTTGCCGGGACCAGCAACAAAGTCACGGCCTTCGAGACGCTTATCTAGAACGCCGTAGAGGCGCTCCGACTCGCCAACGTACAGCTGTGCTCCATAGGGGATCTTCTCCTTGGCGAACTGGAAGAAGAGGTTGGCCTGACCCTGCATGGGGCCCAGGCCGCCGTGCTGCCACGCCATCCACTGTTCTGCAACTGAGTAGTCGTCCGAGTCAACAGGAAAGCTGAAGCGGTGCTCCGGGTCGTAGTGGCGGGTGAGGTAGGTCAGGATGGAGAGGCCCTCAAACACGGCAAAGTCATTGCGGTCGTGGTCGACAATGGCGGGGATGCGGCCGTTGGGGCTGATGGCGGTGAACCACGGCTCCTTCTGTGTGTTCTTCATGATGTTGATGCTTTGCCAGGTAAAGTCCTTGCCGTAGGCCTCCTTGAGCTCCTCAAGGAGGATGCTGACCTTGAAGCCATTTGGCGTGCCTACAGCCTCTCTGTCAATCAGAGGCCAACCACGAGGCGTCGCCAGGAGCGGAGCAGATCGACTGCGCTACTATACGTACCAAAAGTGAGGAGCTCGATGCCGCTCTTGGCAATAAGTCCAGTAGGCTCCGACATTTCTTCTGGCTGTGGAGTTGAAGGTGACGGTATGGATTGGCCCTGCTGGAGCTGTCTCGTGGTAGAGTACGCGGGGTGTGAGCTTCCAGGTGGTCGGCGAGAAGCGTGTCGTGATGTGTGAGCGGCAGTGGGAAGGACAGCTCCTGGTGCTCGTGGGGTGGCTAGGTGAAAGAGTCTAGGGCTGTTGCTTTGGTGGAATGGGAATGCTGAAGCACGAGGGGCAGTGAAGGAGGACCAACGGAGGGGCGGGCTGGGGCCTTTAAGAAGCCTCGCGGGCCCAGCAGCGGGAAGGCGCAACTTCAGTGGTGACAGCATTTTACCCAGAGATGGGGGATTGGGTTTCTCCGTGAGGAGTTGGGGAAAGAGGGGGTCGGGGTTGGACACGGCAAGCGTGTTGCACGCAGAGCACTCCTGGATCAAAGTGGCTTGCAGCGGGACACGGACTTCATTCAGGTCGTTGGCTGCTCAGCTTGCTCTACGCAGGCCCCTCTCCTCAGACATGGACTCGGGCAACTCGTCTGGCTTACCCGAGCTGAAAAGGTAATATACGCCTGCTCATCGTGCTGGGCAATGCCAAATGGTGCACGAAATCGCAAGGCAGCACCTCATTTCTCTGTTGTATTCTGATCGTGCTGTCCAGGCAGACGAATATCGTTGCCGATGATTGGCCAGTCGTGGCGCAGAAAAGCTTGGCTTTTTTACTCCGCGCTGGCTCGCCAGGCACAAGGGGCGTGAGTGCGTTTGGGGGTCCCTGTTCTCAACTGTTGCTGTGGTCAATGGAAGAAGTCTCATTAAATTGCGGCTGATGGATTTAGCCGGGTGCTGTGGTCTTGTGACCGCCAGGCAGCCAGATTCTGGTTTGGGATATCCAGGGCGCTCATTTCATCACCACCCCTGAGAATAGAATCTATCACAACCCATCGAATTCCCTCCACAGATCATTTCACTGCAATGGCCACCGAGAACACCACGCACAAGGTCACCCTGACTGGCCCTCAAGAGACGCTGCTGGCGACGCTCTACGGCCGGTCTAGAGACGCCGCCCGTCCTAACTCGGTCCTCCACGACAAATGGGCCGTCGAGACGGTGGAAAAGATTGACTACGACTTCTCCAAAATCGGCATGAACGACACGAGCTGTGTCGGCGTCTCCATCCGCGCCCTCGTTCTTGATACCTGGACCACCGAGTTCCTCGCCGCACACCCGTCTGCAACTGTCATCCATCTCGCATGTGGCCTCGATTCCCGCAATGTCCGTGTACCATTCGGATCCGGAGTTCGCTGGATTGACCTCGACCTACCGGACGTCGTGGCTCTTCGAAATGAGCTGCAGCTCCCCGTCCCAGACGGCGACTACACACTCAAGGCTGGGTCCGCCACTGAACCCGACGAGTGGCTTGGCGACATCCCCGCTGACCGGCCTGCCATCGTGGTCCTAGAGGGTCTGACCATGTACCTCGAGGAAGACAAGGGCAGACATATGTTTGAGCGACTCGTCAGTCATTTTCAGGCGGTCGGAGGCCAATTTGCCTTTGACGCGTACGGCACTGTCGCCATTCGTCTCCAGAAGAGGATTAAGCCTGTCGCAATGACTGGGTCCCAGCTGAGCTGGGGTATTGACGACCCTAAGCTTTTTGCATCATGGTTCCCCGGCCTCAAACTTCTCAACGAGTATCTGTCAGTCGACATGCCTCGTCAAGAGAGCTTGCCACTGGCCGGGAAGATACAGCTCTGGGTTGCTGCACACTTGCCATATCTTCGCGATGCGGGCCGTGTGTTACGGTATGAGTTTGGACCTAAGGATGAAGCTGTAACTGCACCATCCACAAATTAATCTCCGTGTATGACATAACTAGGCATTCTCCTTCATAAACCTGTAATTATTCAATACCCATTTTTTTAATGCATTTGCCTGGTTATAGTGCCAGCATTATATACCACTGGCCCCACAACACAGTCAAGTTGTCGCCGATGTATTGACAATAGCTCAGCTGTGCTACAACCCAATCCCTCTTCATCTCTGCCGACACAAGTCTCATTTGATAGAGGAAAACCAGCAAATCACGCGCGCTTGGTGTATCGGGCGGCTGTGGCCAATCGTAGCAGTCAAGATGTATAGTCCACCACATTAAGTCATATCTGCTTTAAGTTGGCCGGCGCACGCTACCATCCATTTCAGAAGGCGGATGTACTCGCGATAGTCGAACTAATGCTAGCGCTTCTGTTGGCAGCTGCAATAGGACACCCAACTTTCGAAAGATGTAATCTTCCTTGATCTTCCAGGCCATCTTCAGCTGCATTCACTCGTCGAAGGATAGTCAATTCCGGGATCGTAATGCTGGTAGCCATGGTTAGTGTGAAATGTGCCGTTGACACTGCAAGGACTGGAGCGTGGGACGGTCTTGACGTCTTGCCGAATTTATAGGTCACTGGCTTGGCGACTAGAGGTATAAGAAAGGCTTCAAGCCTCGTAGCTCGTTAGGCTGATCAGCAGATGCATGATGCGACAGCCCACTGAACCCTGGACCACATGGGCAATTGTGTAGTCCCGGCAAGACGTACGCTACGACCCACCTTGAGGGCGGCCGGGGACGGACGACCCCGATTCACAGTAAGTCGTGGACCTGATCCGTGTACGCCTAACGGCGCGGTCAAGAAACCATGCACAGTGGCCTATCCGATCATGTCTGGTGCAGCGTTCTATCAGGGCCCTGAAACGGAAAGAAAGCCCCTAGTCCGTGTAGTTGTGGATAGTCCTTCGACCATGAGCAAATAATGGCATCCAGAAAAGTGTACATGCAGCCAGACTGCCCAATGACCCAGAAAAATGCGCTAGTGAGCTAGTTTGAAGGGTTAAGCGGCGCTGGAGCTAGGTTACTACCATCGCCCAAGGCAGACTTGCGCGCCGGTTGCTCCTTGAGTGCGTCAACCCTACGGGACAGACAACTCCGGGGCACCACACAATAGACATGATTGCCAAGACACCAGACAATGCACGGTTTCCTTATCGCACCAATCTCCACCACAATGTTAACTCGCAGGCAGCAGCGTGTCCCCTGGAGAGGCAGATGCGGCAAAGTGGGTTCTGGTGGGCCAGCCATGCTCTAATTGGGAGGCAGTGGGCCGCATACCATCGACCATCTCGTTCATGAGCCAGTAACAAGCGGCGCAGTAACCACCAGCCTGACTTCCGCGCTTTCGCCAGTCGTACACGGGACTGGGCTTATCCCTTAGCATCTTTATGTCTTCAAGACTTACGCCTTACCGATCCCTGTGGTGATAAGAAGGGTATTGAGGACACCAAGGGTGGCTTGCTAGAGGATTCTTACCGCTGGATTTTTGGGAACTCTGAGTTTAAACAATGGCGTAGCGACCAGCTGAGCCCACTTCTATGGATCAAAGGCGATCCTGGCAAAGGCAAGACGATGCTGCTCTGTGGCATAATCAACGAGCTGAGTAAATCGACAGTCGACACGGCTCTTCTGTCCTACTTCTTCTGCTAGGCTAGCGACTCACGAATTAACAGCGCCACTGCCGTGCTACGAGGTCTAATATATATGCTTGTCGGTCAGCAGCCGTCGCTCGTGTCGCATATCCAAAAAATGCAACAACGCAGGTAAAACACTGTTCGAAGATACAAATGCCTGGACTGCTTTGTCCGAGATCTTTACCAATAAAACCAAAAGTCTTCGGATGAGATGCATTATTGCAGCATATGATGTTGTCATTCATACCTGGGTTGAATTCACTTGATTACATAGAATTTGAAGGCTTGATAGAATGCCAGGCTGGCAAGTACAACAATATACTAACTTCCCTTCACTCTTGAAACAAACTCCGACTTAAAGAAGCGATCAAATACTTGCGACTTGCAATAAGCTTGACTTGGTGCTCAACGATCCAACCTTGACCATGATCCTATGGATAGTTGGAGAGGGCTATCAGGCTTGAAACATAAGCCAACGTACTTCATAAGCTGACCCCAATGTAAAGAAAACGAAATGTCAGCTAAATCCGCCTCCCGCAGCTCGAAAGGGAAGCCACAAATGTCAAAGTTAAAGCCCTTCATGCCTCAAACCCTTCGCATACTATCCAAAAACCAAAATGAAGAATGGGTGTTGCTGCCCTCATAGAAGAAGTAGCTCAATTAATAAAAAGAACCTCTCTGCCTGAACATTTAAGACGTCCGACAATCACTTCCTCCGAACTGGCAGAGCAAGTTGTTTCATCTCTTGGTATTCTCCAATCTCTTAAAACGTAACAATTCCATACTTCTCATATGGAAACTCCTCCAAGCTCTCCAACTGCTCCGCCCACCCATCACCCACGGTCCCGATCTGTTCCAGGTCCGGACTCTCATCCTCTCCCAACCCCGCCAAAATCTTTGCCTCCTTCCCCAAATACTCCTGCGCCAACCCCGGATGCGGGACCCAGACAACTCTCATCCCTGCTCTCCTCCCAGCAATGACACCTGGAATACCATCCTCGAACACCAAACACTCCTCTGGCCTAATCTTCTCCTCCCCTTCTGGTAGTCCTTGATTGATAGCCTGCAGCGCCACCAAATAAATATCCGGACTCGGCTTCCCCCTGCCCTTGGGAATCCTAGGATCGTCACCCAGCACCCGTCGATCCTGCTCGAAAACCTCAAACATCTCCCCCAAATGCTGCGTCTTGATCGTAAAATGGCCCTCATGACTACTCGTCGCCAGCGCAACATATATCTTCCTGTCGCCCTTCTGCGTAGCTTTTAAATCCCTCAATAGCTTTTCTACCCCTGGTAGCGGCGCGGCGTTGGGGAATTGCTCGGCTTGGATGATGTGCAGTTTTTGTGTGTATTCTGCCGGCGAGATGTTTGGGATGTTCGCCCAGTTTAGGAGGAGCGAAATGGCTTCGTGGGCGGGCCGCCCTTGCAGTTTGGATTTTATGGACCAGGTCATGGGACCGGCGGAGTAGGTTGCGAGGAGGATGTTATGGCAGAGTGTGTAAATATCTTCGGTATTTATGAGGAGGCCGTCCATGTCGAAGAGGCAGGCTCGTACTGGGGGGAAGCTAGAGAGGTGAGTTAGAGAGATTGGAGGAAGGGAAAAGAAGCTGCTTAGCTTACTCTGTTTTCGGGGTTGCCATCTTGACAATTCTCTGCGAGGTGTTCCTCTTTGTGTACTAAAAAGGGTGCGTGTTCCGATGGGTTATTTGTATGATGTTGAGTTTGTATCGATGGAAGTCGAGATAACGACCTCAAGATATATCCATGCGCCAAGAGACAGAATGGATCCTTCAAAGAAAAATTCAAACCTTTGAAAGCAGATTGATTTGTAAGAAAGTTTTGCACTTAGCTTAAGAACCCCCATTGCCTTGGAGACGATGAAAGTTTTTGGTGTCGTGGTGTAATGTATCTATTTATGGTGACTTTCCTTGAGTCTCTGCAACGTCACTTCAGCTCACCGGTGACTCAACAGAGGATTGATTGATTGATTGATAAGTGGGGTAGGGCTGATATGGGACATGCGCCCTTGCATGCACAACCAGCCCACTGAAGCACCCACTGTAGCACCGCGGAATCAAAGAGAATGGGGTGCTACGGTCTCGCCCTGGTCTTCCCCGCTCCGTTGTCGCTACGCCTTTGCGTCTGCCCGTGCTCCTGTGACCTCGTCCCGGATCTCTCGGGCCCTTATTTCCTGTCCTTCGGCCTCTCTCTCTGCCTTCGCGAACTGTGGAAGCAGGTGCTGCGTGAACAGCTACTTGATGGCGGCCTTGCTGAACCTTAGGCGGTGCAGTAGAGCTGCTAACTCGTTGCGCGTTCTCGGCGTGGGATGCCCAGGGTGTGCCACAGTCAGTCGTGGCTAAGGCGTAACGCCTCATAGGATAGGGCGACGTGGCCCAAGGTTCCCCTGTGCTTCTTCGTAGCGACAAAGCGGCGATGTCACCGCGGGTGTAGCGATTTTATACAGGAACCCCCTCATATCTAGTCTTCCTGTCCGGATCTACGTGCGCACTGACGACTCGAGCTTAAGTACGCGCAGGCCTCGGTGGCGAGCAAGCGTGGAGGCCTTGCGCTCAGCGCTCGGCGCCTGTAATGCGCCTTCGCCCCGACCATAGAGCCAGCAGCTCAACCCACCCTCTTCCACCCAAAAGAAACGCTCCCCCGACGTAACCAGCGGGCTGGCTTTCTTCCCATTCTCCAGGTACTCTCGAACGTCCTCCTCCTGTACGTCTGCTAATTATTTGTCGAACTGTTCCCCAACTCTAATAGCCTTCTTGAGCAAAGGTGTGATGCGGGGCGCGCATTAGGAATGTCAAGTTTGGCCGAGTGTGGGTTACCCCGCCAGGCTGCCCTGTGCCGCGTGATCAGAGCCTGCAGACAGTACCAAATCTTGACTTGAGTTGGCGCTGTTGGCGCTGCGGCGCTTAGTTCCGCTATTCGCCCCGAATCCGCCGGCACAGTACTGTAGCGCATTGCATGTGCATTTCTCTGCAGTGATCAGCAGGAGCGAGCCCCTCTCCCGTTGCGTGCTGCACGTGGTCCTGTCTCACTCCAGTGGCATGGAAGCTTTCTCCCCAGGAGTCTGGATCCTGCCACTTTTTCAGCACTTGTTCGAGAACATAAAGTGTCAATATCAGCCCCCGCGCTTCAATCTACGCTCTCGGCTCTGATCATTGCCGATCGAGAATGAACCCCAGGCTGTCCACGCAGACTGGGGCCATAGTGGTGTCGTGCAGCCACCTCCGACTCTCCGAGCTGGGGTCTGTACTATGTGCTTAGCCGGTGGACGTGCCAGCCGGGTGCCGGCGTGACAGGCGCATCACCCGGCGCGCCTCTTGATATCTTGCGCGACGCACGCTGTGCCGTTCAGGCTCTAGTCTCGCCATGGGGCGTTTTGGGTGAGCCCTCGTGTGGTCATGCATAGCATCTCTACCGCCCCACAGACGCAGGGCCGGTCAAGCAACGGCTTGGCCAGGTGGTCGGGGCCTGCTCTGAAGGCACAAGTGGCCTCCACGGGTGTCAATTCAATGCCAGGGGGAGCATTGCGATCCGTGGAGGCCATTGCGCCCACAAGCAGGCGTTTTTCGGTGCTGTGGCTTGCTTCGATTTCAAAAGTTTCGATCTTGATGTGTGTGCTGTTTTTCCTGTAGATTGTCGACATCCTGCGGCTGAGGCCAGGCTGCAGCGGGGGCGGTCATCCTCGGAACGGATGAACCTGATCCCGTCAAGCAGCCGGACCATCGTTTCCCGGCTAAGTTGTCAAGACTTCGACGGGATCCCATGTCGGCCATGCAACAACAGCCTCATCCTCCATACATGGCACCTAAATTTATCGAAGATCCAGCGAGCCGAACTCGAGAATGCCATCATCAACAATTTGCAGGGCGCGTGGAAGCCGTCACCGACAAAGAAACCACCAGAAAATCTTCCATACCCTTCCATGCAGTTCTACGGTCCCGTGACGTGTCCTGAGAAGTAACCCGCCACCCCCCGATCTGATCTGGGGTAGGTACTGGTGAAATAAGCCCGCACTGGTTACTGTGGGTTCTGCCCCTCCCTGTCCTCTAAGTACTTACGAGTACCTAAAATTCGTCAGCTTCAGGGTACAATCTGTATGTGTCAGCGTGACCAACTATGTACTGTCAAGTCCCGCTGATGCCCACAATCAAGAGGAGACTTGTTCAGAGAGGAGGTCATTTATGCTCATGACTGTAGTAGTTTATTATTGGCTTGCTAGCCACCAGGCGTAATAAACTAGTGTGTGTGTGTGTGTGTGTTAGTTTATATGGGACAGGTTTTTTGTCACCTGGACTTTGAGACTCCCCCGCTGGCGGGTCATACCGGAGTCCTAAGCGCCGTCGATCTCTGGTCGCAGTCTAGACTAGCTACATCCAGCGTAGTCAGCATCAAACGGCCAATCGCCGTTGATACGACCGTTGACAAGAGGGATTTAGAGAATGCGAGGTTTTGCCAACTGGCATTTATTTATAGCTCGACAGGGAGCCATTCATAGAGTCACGGCTTTTCGGAGCGATGGTGTCATATAAGGTACTGATGACGTGTTTCTTAACCACCTATATTACAACGCTACTCCGAGCATCGATGCCATGAAACTAATCCACATCTTATTCACAAGAGAGAATTACCAGAATCTGCAAAGAAGAGCCATGTCCTCAGTCGTCTACCTCGTGCGCCATGCCGAGTCAGAGCATAACATCTCGAAAGACTTCACACAACGAGATCCGCCTCTCACTGCCACTGGTTTGACCCAGGCATCGACTCTGATTGAGACGTTCCCTGACACAGCTTCTATCGCCGTCGTGCTCACCTCTCCACTTACACGCACGCTGCAAACTACCATAACCGGCTTCCCTCAAGTCTTCCGCAAGGATACGGCAGGCAGCGCCCGGGTTATTATCGACCCCGACCTCCAGGAGCGCAGCGATCTTCCATGTGATACCGGGTCTGGGCGCCTTGAACTGAATGAGGCCTTTCCGGGTCTCAGTTTTGAGGGCTTGGAGGATGAATGGTTCATCAAGGACGGGTTGTACGCCGTGGATGATGTTGCGGTCGCGAAGCGAGCACAACGATTCCGCAACAGATTGCGAGACATTATTGCGTCACTTGAGGATGGAGGAGAAGCTAACGAGGGTAGAAGGAGGGATGTGGTTGTTGTTACTCATGGCGTGTTTATGAAGTTTCTAGCTGAAGACGAAGCTATTGATCTCCCCAAGGCGGGGTGGAAAGCTTTCAGGATCGGCGATAGGGGTGATGGAGGGGCTATACTCCTACCGTTCGAGTGAAGTTCAAGTCGAGATACTATTCATCATCTCAGATACAATTAAGTCCGAACAACTGCATACCAGATAAGGCCCAACACGGCACCCATGACGATGGCGACCGGTGGGCTCACGCCAAAGGAGTAGCCGAAGACAAAGCTCGATGCCGTCACGACAACCCACCATGGCTCCTGTGCGAGACTTGTGCCCTGCTGGAAACTTTCGTCTATGTAGCCGATTTCCCAGAGGCGGTAGACGGCGGTGTAAATAAGGCCGACGGCACCGGCATTGACGCCCCTGAGGAGCGACTTTACACATCTAAGGCCGCGGATAGCACTCCATATGCCCATAGTGCCATGAACGGTAATGAGGCCCGGGGCAAAGATACCAATGAATCCGAGTGTAGCCCCTGCAGCTGAGTTGTAACCCCCGTTGATCGCAGTCAGGGCGCCGAGGTACACAGCGAAGTTGAAGTTGGGACCGGGAAAGCTCTGCTGAATGGCTAGGCCGATGAGGAAGTCTCGCGGGCTAACCCAGCCTTCGGCGACGACGTATTCGCGGAGCAAGGGGATGACGACGGGACCTCCGCCGAAGATGATAGTTCCTGCGAGGTACATGTTTGCGAAGAAGCTGAAGAGGAGCGACTTGACGGGTAATACGCCGCGCAGGACCATAATGACGATGAAAGTAATGAGGAAAAAGATAATTATGCCGAGGCCGAAGGTCCAGGAGAAGTTGAGGCTGCGTTCTGGTGGGACGACGCGGGGTTCCGACTCGGTCTCTAGATGCCCGTTCTCAGTAACCGGAAGAGTTTCGGCATGATTGTCTCGGCTTGAGCGCGTCCCTGCCTCATTCCGTTCTGTTATAGCACTGGAAGAAGTAGCAGAGGTGATAGCAGTGTTATGATGATTGGCAGACTGCGACTGCGAAAGCTCGACGGATTCTATCTCTTCTGCCGGACGTCGTCTTCTGGGGTTCTTCACCACCGCCAAGACGGCCTTGACTGGGCCGTGAAGCCAGCGATAGTCATGGACGACAGTTGCGACACCGGCCAGGAACATCAGAAGGGGAAAGTACCACAGCGCGTTGTATAGGATTCCGGCCGCGCCTCCGAGGAAGACGAGTATGTGGGTGGTCTTATCGGTGATGGCTTTCTCTGATAGTTGGACGGCGGCGACTGCGATGATGCCGACGGTTGAGGCGTTGAGGCCAGAGAGGAGTGCATAAACCGGTCCGGGGAGGGAGTCGCCGATGTTAGAGATACCGATGGAGAGGCCGTACATTCCGAGGGCGCCAGGTAGGCTAGGGAAGCAAGTTAGCACCACCGATGCGAGATTTTGGTCTGGACATGGCAGCTTACCTCCAGATGAAAAAGCTCAGTAAGGCCGGCAGGAAACCGTCATGGATGAGGTTGATACAGTAATGCATTTTGGTACTACCAGGGCCAGAGAAGGCCTGGCATACACTGAATAGCTCTTGATACTGCATACCGATCAGCAATGCTACTCTTCCCCAACCATACCATGGAAACCTTGACTTACCACTTGCTCGTCGATCCATTGCAGCTTCTGGACGAATTTGTCATGGAACTACGGCAGGTGAGGGCATTCGTCAGCAGTCGTCCTGTCCTAGACGTAATATGCGTCGCGATGGAATATAATCAGAAGAACAAAGCTGCAGCTCACGATCTTGAAATGCACTGGGGGACCACCGAAGGAGGTAAACCCCAGATGGTAATTAGTGTTGATGGCGTTCCACAACTTGCTCCCGACGTTATCGGGCTGCCAGCCTCCCCAGCGTCGAATAGCCATCCTGGTAATGGTGTAGGAATATGTTGAAGCTCTTGTCCATGGCAGCAGAATTGGCACTGAATGAAAGCAAGATCACAGAATATCGAACGGCTCGAGTGTTGAAAAGTTGAAGATTTAAAACAGCACATTGGTTCATCGCTTGACTGACCCACTTCCACATCTCCGTTAATACCCACTCGGAAAGGTGCATTACAACCAATCATTGCTCCTCTTGCAGGGCACGTGGGGTTGGACATGCCTCCGCCCCATGTACCCTTGAAGCCACAGACTGTTTTCGGACCTATTAGATCGAGGGAATGACAACGAACTGACCGAAAGACTCACACCGAAACGAACATATCCACCTCGCATTGTCCTTGGGTTGTCACGGAAACGAGACTGCCGCATCGCTCACTTGCACCCTTGTTTCTCAAAAGTTCTGGTTGTTGAATTCCTCGGTCCACTACATGACCCGCCTTGTTGACAACCCAGGAGCTATCATAGGGCTTTCATGCATCTCACAATCTGGAAGGCTCGTTCCGAAAGGCCCTTTCTTCCGTGCCTTCCTCGCCATAGAAAAAATTTAAGCTCGGGCCACTGAATGATCCGTGCGAGACGCCTGCACCACAGCTCGCGCCTTCGACTTCGCCATGATTTCTGCGCCACTTCGAGCCACAGTGTAAAGCCACAGCGTCCTGTCTTTCTTCTGGGGCGGTCAACGCAACTTTGCTTAGACCGGGATCCAAAGCTTCATTTTACCGGCTCATCATTGAATGATTAAGTATTACAGTATTATCCCGGGCCGCAAAAAAAAAAAAAAAAAAAAAAAAAAAAAAAAAGGGGGTCGGCTACATATCATTCTTACTCTGTGACATAATGTCCGCCACATTCTGCTCTGCTCCCCTCCGGTGTACGCACAGGTCCATCGTTTGGTCCATGGTTATGGACATGTTGACTTGCGTTTTCCTTGTATTTTATTTCCCATCGGTCGGAATCTTTCTCAATCTCTACGGCATTAAAGGAAAAGGGACAACCTATGTTCCTTTCCTTCTTGTGCTTCCCTGCGCGACTACATTCCCAAACAAGCCTCCTCTTCGCAACGGTTTCCACGGCATCCGATAGAGCAAGATCGGCCCTACTTGATAGCGGTACTCAGCTATCTCAACTCCTTGATGCAGCTTGTATTGAGGGATCCGAGGTTTGGTCCACATATACGCTTCTCAGGGTCCCTGACCATCATTCCCGGCCGGGTTGGCCTCACTTTCGGCGATTCCTGGTGGGACAGGGGGCCGGGGGCACGGGCCATTGAGCCCATTCCGGTACCCCAACTAACCCCAGATTGAGTTCATTCCGGCCAGCGAAAAATGGGCTAATCCACAGCTAACCCAACCCCAAGCCCAACCCCAACTAGCAGGGGTCCGAACCTGTGGGGCCCAGTGGCGCCCTCATATGCGTACATGCACAGGCCGCACGACGACGAGGGAGGCGCGTCGACTGCCAGAGCAAGCAGGCAGGCAGAGGCGCGCGCAAAAGAGAGAGGCAGAGAGAGGAGGGCCAAAAAAATGCCACGCCTAGGAGTCGAACCTAGCTCTTCAACTGTGACTAGCTCGAGCGTCCGGGTCGGATGGCTCCACAAGCTCAGGTTAGGGACCCTTATTCCTGCGGCCGACGTGGGAATGGAGAGCTATATAGCAGTGACGTCATGACCGCTAGACCAGCGAGGCTCTCTGGCTGTTTGTTAAATAGTCAGTCGCTTATTTGGATATATAAGGCTCAGGCAGGCAGGCAGGTCGGCAGGCTGGTCGGCAGGCAGGCCGGCAGGCAGGTCAGCAGGTAGTTCGGCGGCAGCGGTAGCAGGTCGGCGGAGTAGTGGCAGTTCGTCGGAGCCGGTAGCAGGTCGGCAGGTAGTTAACATAGCGAAAATACCTCCGAAGCGGAGGAAGGGGTGCCGGCAAAAAGAGCTACCCACTTGAGAATCTCTACGAGACGAAGAGATTCTCAAGTAGGCGCAGTAATCCGGCCCGGAGTTGAACCAGGGATTCCGCTTAGCAATTGCTAGCGACGTCTTACCGCTTGACCACCGGGCCTGTTTGTTCTTAAGAGACTGGCTGCTTATTTGGATATATAGGGTCTGGCCGTGGCAGGCTGGCAGAGGTCGGCAGGTAGGTCGGCGGCGGCGGCGGTAGCAGTTCGGCGGCGGTAGTAGTTCGGCAGAGGTATAGTAGTTTAGCGGCGGTAGTAGTTCGGCGGCGGAGGTAGGTCATTCCCGGCCCGGAAGGGTACGGGCTATTAAGTTCATTCCGGTACCCTGAGTTCATTCCGGCCAGCGTAAATGTGCTAACCCCTAGCTAACCCAACCCTAACTAGTAGGGGTCCGAACCTTAACCCCCCCAGCTCAGCTACGCGTGTACGGCTAGGCACTGCTGCGAAAAGGGGGACAAGGTAAGTAATAGGTAATAAAAAGGAGATAAGCGCGTACGCGTAACAGCGCGAGCCCGGGGAGTCTAAAGGGGAGAGGGGACGCGCGTAAGAGGAGATAGAGGGAGGAGGAGAATGAAACGGACGCGCGCGCGCATTTCGATTGAACTATAATACTAGCTTAGGGTCTCTTCCCAAGAATATACGCAAGAGTCGAAGATCAGAAGTAGTACCGAGAAGAGAATCGCATACGACAGGTAGTACTCCACGATGGACCGCAGCAGCCAGGGAGGCGACTACGAGAGCGATTACGGCAGCGCCGCGCAGCAGCGGCAGCAGCAGCAGCAGGAGGACGCGAGAGCTACAGCAACGACCGAGCCAGCAGTAACACCAGAGCTCTATCTATATCGGGCAAGCCGCGTACTAGTCTGCACACTATGTAGGGCAGGAATCGCAGCGGCCGTAGGTGGTGTAGTTACCCACTACCGACAGAGGCACCAGCTTAAGGGCGGCCAGCTACGGGCAGTCAAATCGGCGGCAGCGGGGCCGGACAGCGGCGGCGGAGGTCAAGTCTGGGAGGCCCACATGGCGGCGTACGAGGCTAAAGCGGCCGCCGAAGAGGCGGAGCGGGGCCGGATTATCGACTACGAGGCCGGCGTCGACTATGAGTCGCCGTGGGTGAGCCAGATGGGCTGGGCGGCGCATCTGGCCGGCAAGGATATGGCGGAACTACGGCGCGCCGCCGAGCCAGGTCTATCGACGAAGGAGCTAGCTAAACTAAGCTGGTCCGTCCGGAAAGAGAGGGAGGCTTCGGAGGCGACGCTCGTACGGCTGGGCCAGAGCTTCAACCGGGTAATCGAGCGGTGTAGCCGGCGGATCGGCCAGGTACCCGTGGAGACGCTCTGCTGGCTAGCAAGCCGCGACCCGAACCGGCCGTCGCCGCGGCCGTTCCGCGTTAAGCAGGAGGCGCATACGATGGAGAAGTACCGGAGCTACTGGCGGCGCTATCTCTGCTACTGCGTCCGGGTCTTCCGGCTCGGCCGTACGGAGGCGAGGAGGAAGCACCAGGTCCAGTTTACCGACCAGCAGTGGGCCGCTCTCGAGGCTATTATAGAGGCTCTCGATAGTACGGAGGAGGAGAGCTCCCGGGTAGGGGGCGGCGGCGAGGAGGAGGAGAATCGCGAGGGCGACGGCGACGACGGATATCTAGACGAGGCCGTCTTCACGTTCTGTGTTCTGTCGCTTACGCAGCGGGTACTAGTACAACCGTACGTAAACCCGCTACTACACTTCACTACCGTACTCGCGATCGACCCCGTCCGAGCACGATTTCGGCCGCCGGCCGAGTTTACAACACTACTAGCGGGTCTAGCGTGGTGTAGCCGCGTACTACTACTAGAGTACTTCTTCGAGCACGTCCCGATCCAGGAAGAGGATAGTACTACGGACTCCGGCGAAGGGGAGGACGAAGGGCGTAGCCAGCTCCAGGCTAGGGATATCGACGCATTTATGGACGGCTATCGGCAGTGGATCGCAGACGGCTCGTACAGCCCGTTCAGTACGCTAACCCGGTTCTTAACGATCGGAAAGGGCTACCGCCAGAAGGAAGGGGGGGCAGCACGGATTATCTGGGAGGACGGGAAGCAGGCGCTCCGGCTACACGGCTTCCGGATCGAGGTCCAGAACTTCCGGCGGATGGCCCAGGGGCTCGTCTCAACAGCCGAATCGGCGCTCGACGGGCTTCTGTACGGCCAGTCGGCGGTACTACTAGGACGGATCGAGCTTAGCAAAATCAACGACAGCGTAATGTACGAAGGGGGTGGGAAATCGTTCATCTCAAACCCGCAGAACAGCTGGCTTCAAGCCGGGCCCCGCGTCGTTGCCGAGCTCGTTTCGGAGAGGCTCTGGTCGTCCCAGCGGCAGCAGTACCACCGGGAGCGGTCGCAGAAGTGGCTAAACCAGATCGGAACGCTGAAGAGCCAGCTACTCGTACTAACGCACGTCTGGGGAGGCCAGCCAGGCCGAGGGCCCGAGATCACGAGCGTGCGGTATCTAGATACGAAGCAGCTAAGCCGGAGCGTCTATATCTTCGACGGGCAGGTAATGCTCGTAACGGACCGAGATAAGGCCAAGTCGATCCGGGGCTACGGCCGAAAGGTCGCACGCTTTCTCCCGGAACGGGTCGGGCAGCTACTTGTCGTCTATCTCGTCTGGCTAGTCCCGTTCGAGGAGATGCTTCTCGATGCGATTCGGGCTCGAAAACCGTCGGAATCGCTGCGGCACTGGCTATGGAAGGACGGCCGGAAAGGCCGCTGGGGAACGGACGTGCTTACGAAGGAGCTTAGGGCAGCTACGGCGGGCTATCTCGGCGTCGAGCTAGGTACTTCGACGTACCGCCATCTCGCGATCGAGCTAGGCCGTACGATTCAGGGGCTTATCGTACAGCAGAAGGAGCTCGAGGTCGGCGCGGCCGATGACGGATACGG